GAAAGGGTTGGACCTGGACCTTCCTCAACGGTGCCCCGTCCTCTGCCCCTGGCAGGACGTTCCCCAGCGCCTCCCGGAGCCCTTTTTCGGGGTCACCTGGTCAGAGCTCTCGCCTTTGGTGCAATCCTCACCTTTCCTCAGCGATGACTCCGTTGTTCCTGTGTTTGTACCACGTTTTGTACCACGTTTTGTGGCGGCCAGATTCCACGTGTGCCAGCCCCTCAGTGGAGAAGTGTCCTTTGCCCCAGACCCAATCCTCCCCTTCTTCCTCCCCCCCCCCCAAGCCCTCATCCACGGAGCCCAGGCGCTGGTCTCTGTCTGCACAGGGCTGGCTCCCCTCTGTGATGGTCCCTGTGCCAGGCGGGTCCTGCGTGCAGGAGGAGACCGTCTTTGCCACGTTGTGTTCTGCTTCTCGAAGCCCCTAGCCCAGTGGTCGGCAAACTCATCAGTCCACAGAGCCAAATGTCAGCAGGACAAGGATTGAAATTTCTTTTGGAGAGCCATTTTTTTAAAACCTAAACGTCTTCTGACACCACTTCTTCAACATAGACTCGCCCGGGCCGTGGTCTTTTGTGGAAGAGCCACCCTCAAGGGGCCAAAGAGCCCCATGTGGCTTTCGAGCCGCAGTTTGCTGACCACGGCCCTGGGCGACCACCCAGCCCACTGCCCGGTCCCTGCGCTACTGGTGCCCGGAGGGAATCTTGGCCCTGCTCTTCTTGACCAGCCACAGGGACCACACAGTCTGACCGATGCCCGCACGTGCTTGTGGTGCGAACGCAGGGACGCCAGCCCGGCAGGCCCCTCCCGCCGCCTCCTCACCGGGAACCCGGCTGAGAGGGCCAGCAGGCAGGGCACCCCGAGGCTGCCAGGATTCGGGGGTGGCACGAAGGCACTGCCCTCCCCTAGCCCAGCCGTCCCGCAGCCGCACGGGCCCCGAGGAGGGCGGGCGGGCGGGCGGGCGGGCGGGCGGGCGGGCGTGGGGGCGGTGGCAGGACCTCACCGCCGCGCGGCCCTATGTTCCCAGGTCAACCTGGCCTACGCCTACGAGACCAAGGACGCGCTGTGCCTGGTGCTGACCATCATGAACGGGGGCGACCTGAAGTTCCACATCTACAACATGGGCAACCCGGGCTTCGAGGAGGGGCGGGCCCTGTTCTACGCTGCGGAGATCCTGTGCGGCCTGGAGGACCTGCACCTGGAGAACACCGTCTACCGGTGGGCGGCCCGGGCTGCGCCCGCGTCCGGGAGGGGGGACCACCCGCCCGGGGGCCGAGGCCTGGCCATTGTCCTTGCCGGGGAGGGTGCAGACTCCCACTGACACTGAGGCAGTGAGGTGGGCTGCTTAGGGGGCAAGTGTTCTGGGCCCCGGGCTCCTCCAGTCCGGTGCCCGGGGAAGCTTGGTGGGGCCTGGTGGCCGTGACCTGGACCCTCAGCCCAGGGCCTCCGTCAAGACCAGTCCCGGGAGGACCCGGGGAGTCACCACCATACACAGGCCTGCGTCCATCCCTACTGCCCGGTGTGGCAGGCCCAGGGTCCAGGTTCTGTGGGCAGCACCAGGGTGAGGCTCAGGGCCAACAGGATGGCTGGTGTTCGCTGGACCACGCCTCCCACACTGCCCGTCCCCGGG